ATATCATTTCAGTTCTTGTACTGGGTTTTTACTCAGGTCTGTCTGGTAGAGTCAGGAAGGTGTATCTTTTCGGTCTATGTGTAGTTTCACTATTGTCTAGTACAGTAGATTCACTGATGGTGCATTAGTGTGGTTTTCTAATTTTCTTAAGTGTTGGTACTCCACTTTTTACTTCACTGAGCACTGTGTTCATTTGTAGATCTTCATGGATCCTGTGGTCGTTTGCGTACCAAGGTGCGTTTAGAATGGACCGAGAGTCTTGGATTGAAAGCGCTGGAGGATTTCATTGTTGGAATTGAAGGCTGTCCCCCATAGGTGAATTCCGCAGGTCCATATGGGTTTGACTACTGCTTTGTATAGGAGTTTGTTTTCTATTGATAGGGTTGATCTTCCGTGTAGCCCGTGCTGTTTGTTTCGCCTTTTGGTTGAGCTGTTTTCTTTTGGTTTTGATATGCTTTGCCCGTGTCACTCTTCTATCGAGATGCATGCCCAGGTATTTCACTTCACTGTCGGACAGGTTCGGTTGCGTAGGGTGGATGTAATATGCGTGGATTGCTTTATTTTAATTCTCAATTTCATCGCCCAGTCGTTAGTCTTATCTTGTGTATTGCTAAATTTGCTGTATCATCGACGAAAGTAGCAGTTGCGTTGTGTGATGTCGGGAGTTCGCTTGTGTCCTAAGACACTTCCTTGCGGTACGCCTGCTTCAGTTTTCCTTAAGGTTATAATTTGGTCGTTCAATTTTATTTGAAAAATTCTATCTATTAGAATTGATTCTAATATTCTGTAACATACACGGGGAAGGGTTATCCTGATTTTGAACAAGAGGCCTGGGTGCCATACTTTATCAAACGCTCTTGTGATGTCTAGGAACGCCGCAGAGCCGTACTGTCTGAATGTCCCAATGGCTGTATCTTTTCAGATTGTTCTGAGTACAAGAATGAAAATGTATATTCTCCAACGGATTGTGCATGTTTTTCAAATGCAGTTTCACCGAAATTCTCAGTCTCGCTCGTAGCAATTCTGTTCGTTCTCGGGAGATCCTGCGTTCAAATCTCGAACCAGAGACCGTCTCTTTTGACCGATCTTGATTATTTTCAGACAAAACACCTTGAATTATATCATGACTACTTCCTTGTGACCAATTTCCAACTTATCGTTCACTACTGATTCTAATAATCTACTCCATAAAATCTTACACTTGAAACTGATGCAAAATAAGCAAAATGCTTTATTTAATATTTTTCTCACGACCGCCCGATTTTCATTTGTTTACAGATGCAAATTTATTGCTGCAAAACTAATTACACAACAGATGTCACAATATGCAGTCATACATTATTTGCACCTGCATTTCGTTGGATACTTATCAAATCGAAAACTGCTCCAAACGAAATTTGTACAGTTCAGTGAGATCTGTATGAACACAACTAACTAACGAACTAAACAACCAACCGACTAACCAACTAACAAACTCCGTGGAGCCGGCTTCTTCTTGAGAAGCTGCCAGTTTCCCAGTCACTAAAACATTTGCCAACATTTCATGAAATCCGAAGGTTATAACCCTGTTCACAAGAGCCCCGTCAGTAGTCCCTCTCCTGAGCCACATCAATCTTGTCCATAATGCCTCATCCTATCTCTCTAAGATCCATTCTAATATCATCCTCCCACTTTCCTTAGGTCTTCCTAGTGGTCTCTTTCCTTCTGGCTTTCCTACCAAAATTCTATATGCGTCTTTGTTCTCCCCCAAGCGTGTTACATGAAATTCCCATCTCATCAGCCTCAATTTTATTCTAATTATAATTGGAGAAAAGTTCAAGTTATGAAGCTCCTCATTATGCAGTTTTCTCCCCCCCCTCACTATATTTCTTTTCGGTCCCAATATTCCCCTCAGCACCCTGTTTTCGAATACCATCAATCCATGTTGTATGTACTCGTATGTATGTGTGTATTGGGGGAAGGCCACAATTCGGCCCCTCCACCGCGACCTACAATGATCTATTGTGCTTCCCCTTTAATTGACCCCTTATTAATCCTACACTTTGAATGAACTGCAGGACTTTATTTGTGGGGGCGTCATAGTAGTCACTTGGTTCCATAAAGAACTGGCCCAGGTGACGAAATCTTAATGAGCTATGGCCTCACAATCGCAAAGTATATATCAGCCCATGTTCCTCCCTTAATGTCAGAGACCGAATTTCACACCCATACAGAAGCATGTCGTTATTAATTTTATACTAATATTTTGTAGTATGCGTCGGTTTTGAGGAAACTGACGAAGCTGTATTTTCAATTCGTGTAGACGTGGTCAGAATAAATATGAGAGTACCAAAACGCAATTCATCTGACAACATTAGTGTAGACCCTCGCTGAAATACCGTACTCGTATTTCATTGAAATTCAGAGTGATGGTCCGGAGACAGAACATGAGGACATGAGGACAGAGAGGCATGCGCTAACAGACAATACCTGTATCTCGTGGTTTTGTGTTCATAACGTCAGTTTGTTCGAATGTCGCATGAGAGAGAGTGGCATAAAATCAAGTGTAATGAGAAGGAAAGTTTGATTAAATTCGGTACATTTGATTCCAGTTATGGACTAAATTATCCCCATTATCAATGGAAGTGTCCAAGAATTACAATTCCAGTGATAAACTATTCTTATAAAAAAATAAAAACCAATCTGAATAGGTTTACATCGGCTGTTTACACACATAATACTCTGACTAATTACGAAGTAGAAATTATACGTCACTATAACTTATTTTCTAAAACCCAAGTCAGTATAGGTGTCTCACATGCATGAGATCTCTGATGTCATATTGAGAGATATGTCTGAGGTATTTGTGAACAATTTATATAAAGAGGAAGACAAGAATGAGATGTTAATTACTTGCCTAAATCATATTGATTCACTTTAAAAAGACAAGTGCCTTGTAGGTAAACAAAAGTAAACGCATTGAAAGGTTACGTTTATATTTTTTGCACGAAATGTTTTGAATGAAAATATAATATATATGTCGTGTCAGTCTGTCCGTCTGTTTCATCTCCTAGGCTACTGAACGAATTGTGATTGAATTTCGTATTGGGAGTTCTACACCAAAAATTTGTCACCCAACTTCGGTTTTTCTCTGAACTGCTGCACGTGGATTTCATATCGGACTGCGTAAATATATTTTCACACAAATTTCGTGACTAACATCACGGAGTTGAACCCTTCTTTAGAAGCCGTCAGTTATGCAGCTACTCAAGAACTTCCCAGAAATTTATGGAACATGAAGGATCATTACAATGTTCACAAGAGCCCTCCACTGGTCCCTACCCTGAGCCTAATCGATCCAGTCCATACCACCCCATCCTATCTCTCTAAGGTCAATTTTAATATTATCACCCACCTATGTCTTGGTCTTCCTAGTGGTCTCTTTCCTTCTGTTTTTCCCGTCAATATTCTATATGCATTCCTCTTCGGTCCCATTCGTGCTACATTCTCTGCCCATCTCATCCTCCTTGACTTGATCATTCTACTTATACTTGGAGAAGAGTACAAGTTGTGAAGTTCCTCATTATGCAGTTTTCTCCAACTTCCCGTCACTTCATCTCTCTTCAGTCCAAATATTCTCCTCAGCTCTATGTTCTCAAACACGCTCAGTCTAGGTTTCCCCCATAATGTAAGACACAAAGTTTCATGCCCATGCAGAACCGCAAATAAAATTATATTTTTTTTATTCCAGTTTTATGTTTGTAGACAGCAGACGAGAAGACAAATTGTTCTGGACTGGATGGTAGCAAGCATTTCCCAAAACTATCTCCTCTTTATTTCCTCCTGAATCAGGTTTTGATTTGTTATAGTCGTTCCCAAACATTTGAACTGTGCCACATTTTCAAAGGATCTATTACCTACTTTATGTCACGATTTTGCCCTGCATTCTGGTGACGGTTTTCTCTGTTTACTCCTAGACCAACGTCTTTATTAGCGTCAATTGAAGTTTCTGTGTTTTTTATATTCTCATTCCCCTTTCCATAGAAAGTTGTTTATTCGCCTGCTGACCTCCTGTACTCAATCTGAACCTAACTTACATTCTGATATTTCTTTCGCAACTGTCATGAGCAAACCTGCCTTATACAGACTTCTTACACGCCATGTACAAAATCTCATGTACACTTATTTTATTTTGGGTCATTTATTCAAAAGTTCCCTCCAGGTTCAAAGCCCTTTGTGATATTTTGTAACAAACTTACTTTTAGGGTGAGGAGTTATTAGCCCAACAAGCAACCCCTCAAGCTAAGGGACTACTACTTGTCGGCTGTCCGCGAATGCTTATTCAACATATCCCCAGCTACTCTCCATATCTAGGGAGCCGGGATAGCGTGGTCGGCATAGCGACTACCTACGGCCTGGGCAAACGAGGTGTCGGAGTTAAAGTCCCAGTAGGGTCAAGAATTTTCACTTCTCCAATCGTCGAAACCGGCTCTGGGGTCCACCCAACCTCATGTACATTGGGTACGGAGGGGGTGGCTCTTTCCTGGGGATCAAGCGGCCGGGGCGTGAAACTGACCGGTGCCTTAAACTAGTGCCTAGGCCAAGAAAATGTTCTATACAGCCACTCCCCCATATATCTTCATGGCGTTGTGCTTAATTACTTAAGCACAAGGACAACTTTACCTTTTACCTTTACCCTTACCCTTCATATCTGGAGGCCGTCTCTTCCATCAGCAACCTGAGAACGCGCCATGCCGCAGTGACAAGGGACCCACCTAATAGGGCATAAAAATTTTGTATCTGATATAGAATTTCTTAAGATCTATAATATTTACTTGAAACAGCTTACAGAATACAAAGATAACTTATTTTTGACTGTGAAGGGTAAATCAGCATTAAGGGCAAAGAGACATGTGAAATGGCAGAGACTATGTTACTCAGTGGAGACCAACACTTCCATTTCCTCACTAGACTAAAGACAATTTTGTTTTGTAAAATGTGCATTGCTCCTTGGTTTACAGACACAGGCTGGTGGCTGCAGTTGGCTCACACTCTCGACTTGTCTTTGCGGAGAGAAGGCTTTGTGGTTCGCCATCACGTCGTGCTGCCAGACAACCCTTTGTCTGCTGACACATTAACTGCGAAGCTAGAACCTCTGCAAACTGCACCCTGTAGGGGTAAGTATATCTAAAATATTATAGTAATATAGTACTTGCATTCAAAATTTTATTCGAAATACAGAAGTTGCAGTTGCAGCCCCTTATCGCCTTTTCAGGATACAGATGCAGTTTCAGACCATGATCCCTTATTCAGGTACGGAAGTTGCAGTGAATTTACCGCTCTCGAAATACTGAACCCCGCAGGAATAAACGCCCCACCGCTAGCGTCGGCTCGGCTGGACAGATTTATCTCCTTAGTGCCGTACCTGACAGTTCATTGTACTTCGTTGGAGGAGGGGGGCAAGCAGAAGAGTCTGTAGCATCAGGAAAAGCATCTGCCCAGGAGCTTCCTTACCATACAATCCTCTCACTTCCCGGAATCATTCTTTTTGTATACATGTTAATGATTTATTGGAATTCCGTGGTAGAGCCCACCAGCTTTCTGCTTTGAATAAGACATTACATTACCACCAGGAGGCGAAAGAAGGCTATTTTAGCGACTCGTTTCTTTTTATTTCGCAGTAACCATTTACATACCGTGATAGCATAGTTGGTTGAGGCACTATGCTACAAGCCGGAAGGTCGCGGAATCGAGTTCCGATGAGGTGGATCTTTTTAATTTACCTAATACTTCCAGCCGCACTAAGGCCCTGGGGTCGACTCAACCTCTAACAGAACTGAGTACCAGGAATATTCCTGGGGTAAAGGGCGGCCGGCGCGTAATGCTGACAACCTCACCGCCATCTGTGAGTCAATTGTCTAGAAAATGTGAGAGCCTCAACATCTCACAACCCTATGGGCCTACACAGCCTGTTACAGGGATAGCTTTACTTTTTACTTTTTGCTTACTAATGTTTGGAGAAACGACTGGCCACTGACTGGAAGATCGAAGGGTCGGAGTTCGAGTCCAGGTGGGGTCAAAAATTTTCACTTCTCCATGTCGTCCAGACCGGCTCTGTGGTCCACCCAACCTCCTAGCCAATAGGTACAGGCGGCTCTTTCCTCCGGGGATAAAGCGGCCGGGACGTGAAGCTGATCACTCACCTCCAGCTAGTGTCGAGGTAAAAAAAATGTGGACCTATACATCCACTCCCCTATATGCCTTCATGGCGTAGTGCTTAATTAGTTAATCACAGAGACAGCTTTAATATTTTGAGATGTTTTCTGGCTTCAGAGTTTACAGATTTAGTCGAATTCATTTGAAGGGACGATTAGAAACTCAGATTTAGACCGGTAAAGGTTTTGTGACTATGATTTTTAATTTGGTTACTGCAACGATTCCTTTTAGGGAGGCTTTGGGCGGCTGAGAGCTACCTCGCTCGTAGCTGCCGAATCCCCCCCGTTTTTCTTTGCCCTTACCCAGTTCCCTCTGTTCCTGTGAGGTGGTATGTTAGGGAGGTAAGATGTCTGGTATAGGGCGCTAGTAAGCACAGAGTAGGTGTACGTACAATTACAGGTGGTGCCTCTTGGGTAAGGGTTGGTTGGTGTTAAGTGGCTCTGCTCAGGATTCTGAAGGCCGGGGATCTTATTCCGGCGTCTTAACAGGCCTTATTCATTAAATACTAAATGCAGATACATTGATTTGGTCTGCCGTAAACTTAACTAGTAAATCCACTTTAATATTATAGTTACCTTTTAGTGTTTGGCCACCATTCTGTTAAACCAAGTAACTCAAAATTATCCCGAAGTGTTTAAATTTATATAATTTGGAATTTATCGGGAGTGCAGCAGTTTCACGTCCCTTCAAGTTAAAAGTTAAAACCGCTGTGTTCCATTAGAACTGACCTCACCTGGAGCAGAAGTCTCCTCAGAGATCCTACCTCTAGACAAGTTCCATGCTCCAAACATCCCTCATCGACTTCGTTTAAAACATAGGAAGTTTCCCAAATTTACTTCTTAATCAACGACATGTGTTTAGCGACTTTAATTCCGAAGTGCGTTTTTGACAGCGCTCTGACCTATCGCACTCATAGCGTGAGTCCCTAGTTCGCCTCCTTTGACTTACTATGCTGAGTCGCATATCCAAAGGCAACGCCAGCTCGGAGCATGCGAATATCCAGACAGTGGGCGGATGGTGAATTCTGTGCTCTTGCAGCAAGAATGGACATAAGGCTCCTTCTCAGGGCAAGAATGCGACCATCTCCCTTTCTCTAAACATAGATTACATTATTAATTATTTATCTGTAAGTTTGATACCTTATAATGACTTAATTATAAAGAGCAGATATTTTACTATAGTCTGGAATACGCATTCGTCAAGCAATAGACCCCCTAGATATCCGTTCCTGCAAGCCTACATAATTCTTGAACCCGTTTGGAGAATGTAGTTGGATGGGTCGGAGTTCGAGTCCCGGTAGGGCCAAGAATTTTCTCTTCTCCACGTCATCTAGGCCGGCTCTGGGATCGACCCAACTTCCTATCCAATGGGTACCGGGGGCTCTTTCCCCGGAAGTAAAGCGGCCGGGGCATGATGCTCCCCATTCACCTCCAGCTAATGCCAAGATCAAGAAAATATGGATCTATCCATCCGCTCCCCCATGCGCCTTCATGGCGTAGTGCTTAATTAATTAAACAGAGGGTAAATTTTAATTGTTTCATTAATTTAATGCTCTGCACTGCACTTTTAAAACACTGTGACCTGATCCTTATCGTGTTTTTTCCTTCTTTCTCTCTCTCTCTCTCTCGCGTGCGGGTTTTTTTTTTTTCGGATGTTGGATTTCTACGGTTCCCAACTCTGCGCTTCTACATCGACTTCAAGGAATATTCATACTCCACCTACAACCCCCACGTCTAGCATAATAGTCCCTACATTTACCTACAAGCCAGGGTAACAATAATAATGTTAGTGTTATATAAATATGTAGACGGACATGGGGTTGGCTGTTTTGGATATCAAACTTTGTAAGGTTGTCTCTGTGATTAATTAAGCACCAAACCGTGAATACATAAGAGAGGGAAGTTATACCTTCACGCATTCTTAACCTTGGCACTAGATCAAAGCAAGTTTGTATCTTCACGTCAAAGTCACTTTAACCTCGGGGAGGAACCTCCCCATATCAGTTGCATAAGAGGCTGGATGATCCCCAGAGCCGGTCTAGACACTGTTTGAAGAGAAAATCCTCTTAACTCCTGTCAAGAATTGAATTCGTGTTCATCGGTTGTTTACCCCGTGGTTTCTTATGTTAAAGTAAGAAGACAGAATGGTGTTATAAAACAGGCACTGTGGAGCATATTCTAATTTACAGCAGAGGAGGCAACAGGAGGAATGAGAAAATTACACAACTATGAGCTTCGTGATTGTTCTGCACGCCATATATTATTAGGATGATCAATTCAAAGGCGCGCGATAGGCTGGGCATATAGCACTCTTGAAAGAGGAGAGAAATTTGTACAAAATTACGTTAGGAAAACCTGAAGAAATGAAATCAGTTGGAAGGTCTAAGCGTAGACGGTTAATATGAGAATGGATTCTAAATGTATAAGATAGGTCGGTGTGAATTGGATTAATCTAGCTCAGGAGAGGGACAAATGAAGGCCCTTGTGAACAAGGTAATGAAACTTTGGTTTTCATAAAATCAAGGGATATTCTTTGCATAGCTTAACATCTGCTAGTTTCCAATAAAGGACTTGATCCATGACCTTAGTTAGTTACTTACGTATCATTAGGATTCTGCATTCTTTGTCCAGCAGCTANCCTAAACCCAGAAGACGACTTTCTTCATAGTCTTCGCCGTGAAAACCTCAAAACTTACAATCTTGTTAAGATTTAAAAAGAAGTTAATATATATATATGTGATATGTGTAAGTTTTCACAGATGTGGTTACGAAGACTTTTGTCTTATGGAATTTAATGCTGTATATTTCATTAAAAATTAACATGTGTTTTTGAGAAATATGTTGCTTCCATCCTCAGGGCTAAAGAATAAACCAAGCAAGAAACCAGCATGAAACAGATATCAAGCCTAGCTCTGCTTTCTACCTACTCCAGTCATGAAAATGGAGGCGACATGTTCCTCCGAAACGTCGTTCAAAAATGTTTAGATAATCTATTTAAAGCGTGTTACTCTATCTTAAAGAAGAAACGATAAAATATGCCTGCATGGAAACATGATATCCATGAAGTACGAGTACTTGACGGAACTATAAACCTTATGTACGAATAACACGAGCAGTCACTGGCGCATTAATTTTGAGAACAGTAGAAGCATTAATTCTGCTGCCTTAACGATAAAAAGAGTATAATGGAATTGATTTGAGGTAGATCTGTAAGCATACCTAATATATGAAACTGCCAGTGGAAATACACATATGCGCTTGTGCGTGTGCGTGTGCGTGTGCGTGTGCGTGTGGTGATAAATTTGGAGAAGTTCGGGAAATATAACCGAGGTCGATCCCGTTATTTATGGGCCAGAATTTTATATAGTGATAACTTCAGCGTCCATGGCAAAACATATACTATATTTTATTATGTTGTTGCACAAATACGTAGTTCTCACGCTACGGAGCGCGCGGTTGTTTACTGTCTCCCTGGTGAGTAATAGATAAGGCAGAATGTCTGTTGGTGGATGGAATTTTGTGTGAGATGACGGAAACTTGTTTTCTCCCTGTGGAGACACATTGCTGCCTTCTCTTGTAACCTTCACGCCTTATTCCTGTGGTGTGAACACAAGAGAGAACTGGCGACATATTCTCACAACAGAGTATTCTGAACAAACGCAAGAACACATACACAATACATAGAAGCTGTTCCACACACTACGGTGAACTGCGTTCACGAGACGATGTAATCAAGAGGTAAATAGCATCATACAACATTTTGATCGAAAAACATCAGTGGTAGAGACAACTTGACAGCAATATGCATAAATAATATTAAATTGAATTGTATAAAATTTGCTGGATTGGATTCCCCACCCTCCTGACATGGACAAATGAAGAGCTTTGCAGTAATCACGGTATGCATGAGATGCTTGTCAAGCAACAGAACATGTGTGCGCATTTAAAACAGGGCTGTGATCGCTGTGTTAGCCTAGCAATAGGCGGAGGCAAGGAGAAAGCAGGAAGAATGGAAAGATAATATATAATGTCAGGGAAAATGAGGTATGTTAAATCACAAAAAATGCACCTGGAAAAAGTCTGGATTACACAATTGGAGTTGCCTACATTCTTGCATTCTTCTTTTATCATATAGAAAACCCAATATTTAAAAGTAGTTCAACAAGAAAATCGTAAGTTCAGTTGAGTGGGTAGTACTCATGAGTCGTGTTCAGCAGGTCCTTGCTTCAAGCCTCGATCCGAAGGCCGGCTAGCCTGACGGAGGTTTTCCGTGTTCTTCTTCAGTCTCTCCAGGCAAATATCGGGAATGTTCCTTGAAGTAAAATACTATCGCTTCCTTTCACATCCTTTTTCAATTCTCGTCTGCTGTCTAAAAACATAAAACTGGAATAAACAAAATTATAATTTTATTTGCGATTCTGCATGGGATAGTGTAGTCGGTATAGCGACTGGGTACGGACTAAACAACCGAGGGGTTCCAGTTCGAGTCCTTGCAGGGTCAAGAATTTTTTCTCCAGACCAATTCTGGAGTCCACCTAACCTCCCATCCAATGTGTACCCGGGGCTGTTTCCCCGAGGGTAAAGCGGCCAGAGCGTGAAGCTGACCACTCAGTTCCAGCTAGTGCCGAGATCAAGAGAGTGTGGCCCTATACATCCACATGCAAATTGCAATGTCTTGTAGAGACAAATCGACGTTTGCAGACAGACCACTGGACTGTGCTGCCTTCGAGGTTCTCACAACAGTGTCTGGTGAGGAGTTCTATCTTCTGGGTTACAACGCCGTGCAGGCCGGAGGCAGTTAACTTCCACCAGGATACAAGGAGTTATGTCTCCTAAAACAGAATTCTTCAGACCATTAGATATTTCACTCCGCTGTGAGTTATTGTTTTTGTCCTTATATTATGGAATATTCATTATATCGAAAAGTGCACTGGATGGATGCTGCAGATGTATACCAATTTTAGTACATTTATAATAAACCGTTCTTCGGAAAATTTCTGATCTTCAATTTGATCTACATGCAGTCTTTATGCTATGCATCCTGTTGTGTATAATTCACATGAATACATGTGTATATATGTACATGAATACTTGGTGTCAGATTTCTGAGTTGCATCATTTATTCAATATGAATTCATATTGTGTCTATATTGTTACACTATCCTAATAATACACTTTGATATTTAAAATAGTTAAATTTTGACATAAAATAATACTGAACTGGTAACAAAATGAATTAAAATATATAAAATTAAAATTACAGTTGAAACTCCTAGTTAATGTGACTAACAATAGTCAGTATTATACATCTAAGATTTTTAGCCGCTCCGTATCTTAATATGTGACGATATTTCCACGTTATAGTGTTAATATTGTGACGTGGGGAATTGCGTGTTGAAATATTTCTATATTTTTCTCCGTCGTGTAGCTTTTTAGTAGTTTACTATATTATTGTGAAAGCAGAGCCCGTTCCGCGTATGCTTCTCCTGTTGTATATGTATGTATATATGGCTGGGACGTTCAGGTTCTTAATGTGTATAGATTATTATTGTGTAAACTGCCTCAAATCATATTCTTTTATTGATCTACACGCATAAAAATTATATGTACTCTGAACAGTTTCTTGTAGACCCACAAATATTCTAAAATTCGTCGAAATATATTCAGTCGTTTCTGAGTAAAACATAAACAGTGTACCCTAAAGAAATGTTACCATAGCGCAGTGTGTATAAAAACTAATCTCCATTGAAAAGTCTGCAGAAACCGTGGAGTTACACTGTTATTGAAAGCAAACAACTATTATACCATACGCCTTTCAGCAAGGTCTGCGTTGTCACCTGGAAGTAATTCACAGCAGTAATACGAAACTTCATGTGAAGATCGCGCACCAATGGGTTTTGCATTAATAACCGATACTGACCAACGTGACGTCAAATGCTGCAGCGATTTGACAAAGCCTTTGCTTCTCCCTGTGTTTACGTAACATTTTTTTCTGCGACGTATTCCTTTGTGAAATCATCCGAAGCAAAATGTCCGCCCCTGTCAGCTGTATGTAACAGAGATCTCCAAAGGATATAAAGAAATAACGCGTATTAATAGATCGAAACTTTCTTTCCGAAATGCAGTTCTCTAGGACCTCCGAGTAGATAGCTTGTGCCTTATATTCTTTATATAATAACTGCTCTAGGAATCCTTCTCGAGGAGGTTACAGTCGCTCAGCTGGCCAGTAAATCCTTCTATTTGTAAGGAAACAGAAAGTTCACAAGGACCCGCCCATGAACCGAATCCTGAAATAGATAAATTGAGTACACATCCTCACACTCTAATTATTTAAGGCACATTTTAATATTATCCACCCAACTACACTTAGGTATGTAAGATTTGAGGCTTTCACGGCGGTGACTATGAAGAAAGCAGTTTTCTGGGATTTGGCACCGTGTATATGTGGTGTTAACCGACATTTCGGAGGAACGTATCGCCTTCATCTTCAGGGTAGAAGAAAAAATATAAGAAATCTGCAAGCGTAGAGACCGTGAGAACCGGTAAAAGCAGACTTAAATCCCTGATTCAGAAGATATACCAGATATTTTTTTGCGAAGCTCCAGTGTCTAAGCACAATAGACCGCTAAGGTTGCCGTGCAAGGGCCGAGAAGGCCTACCCCTCATACATTCATACATACATCACAGCAGTGAAATGTGTAGTGAGTTGAATTTGCCACGATGCATCTCATTCTGGGTGCCGGAAGAATACCCAGTAACCACTGCAAGATAAGTGACACTTGCCTTTCCGAGAAAGTCAAGCAGTAGTTTCATACAATAGTAACCTAAAGATAGTATTCAATTTTCCTTGATAACTTTGAACAGAACTAGCAGTAGAGTGACTCGTAGAATTGGAACAATGGTATAGACAAAGTGTGGTACGTGTGGGTAAGAGACAGTGCCAGAGGATATTAATATAGATGTTGGGTTTCAATCCCCGGCAGGGTCATGTATTTTTGGTCACCACATCCAAGCCTAATTTGGATCCAATCAGTTCTTGGAATTAGAATTCAATAATTATAATATTCCCCATTTGACAATAATAGACACCAGGCAGATAAAATATATTACGAAATAATTCAGCGAAGGAAGTTACTCGTATAGAGAAAAGACAACATAGCAACAGCAGCATATTGCATAAACATGTAAACATATCAGAATAGGCGCTGGATGTAGACAAATGAAGATATTGCGTGTATATTGCACCGCGCAGAAAGTTGACTTTGTGAAAGACTTCAACTAAAAAATATTTACAACTATGATTTTATGAATCGCATGGAATTTAACGAATAAATTATTTAGGCTAGTAAGTAGTTTTGATGCCGGTCACGGTAGCCGAGCGGTCTAAGGCATGCACTGTCTTCGCTCGCTCGGAAGCCGGGATCGTGGGTTCGAATCCCACTCAGGGCATGGATGTTTGTGTGCGTTTTTCTGTGTCTGTTTACAGGTAGAGGCCTTGCGGCGAGCTGATCACTCGCCCAAGGACTCCTACCGTATGTGTAAGATCTAGTAAACCGATGTGAAACGGAGAGTTTCATGGAGGTAGGCCTAGGCCCAAATTGGGGCTGTAGTGCCAAGGGGGAAAAAATTAGTTGTGGTCCATAAGGCCGAATCGCATATATGTAAATTAGAGTATTTTAGGTGTGATAAGTGTGGATGTCTATTATTGCAGTTTTCCTGACCGATTTGTGTGAAATTCAGTGAAGTAAACGTAAATTAACTGTGATATATTTCTTAATAGTGTGCATCCTGTTGTGTGTCATAAATAAGATATACAGAAGTATATAAGGCATGCCTTCTACACAACAATGTTCTCTATTTAAAAAACAAATAAGACAATACTGTATCAACATTTCCTTTTATTATGTTTTTACAGACGCAACATGTTTCGACCCTTACACCGGGTCATCATCAGGCGTTTACTCCAGTTTGAGCTGATCAATTGCAATGAATTTTCATCTTATTCTTCAAATAAGGATCATTATTGTGTCCTGAAATTATTTAAATGCATAAATTCATATATTAAGTTTTGGTCGAAATTTTTAAAACTGAACATCCTTAGATAACAAAATTTAAAATTAAAGATATAAAGATTAAAATTAGAAATTAAAGATTAAGACACGAAAGTTAAAATTCTGGTAAGACTCTGGACAGCTACGTGTTGACCCGGTTTTATGCCAGTAGAAGCCACTATAGCGTGGGGCACCCGCGTATCGGTATCTTCTGTTCCCCTAATTCCATTTTAAGGACCACTTCAATATATAATTATATATCTTCGTCTGAGTTTTTGACAGATTTTCGACGTACGAAACTTGTCTCACGCCGATACTGATATGCGTAGAGTGAGGTTAATTCAGTTTAGTTCATTTTAAGGCACACGTTTCTTATGGAGTTAAATGAATTTATGGGCTATATCGCAAAGTATTCGCATTCAGGATTGATATATTGAATAAAATTTAACTACATCATAAAATGCGTATGCTTTTCCTTTATATACATATTTATAAAAGTCTTTGATTTATGGAAAATCGCTAGCATTATGTTATAATTACCAGTGACAACCAACGTAGATGACTCCTCAGTTTAAAGCTTAATTTGTGTACCTAGACTCCTGACAGAACGTACTCCAACATTTTTATATCAACCTCAAAACTGCGTTTTCCTATGCCTTATTGTGAAGTTAACGTCTGTACCTTTGTGTTGTTTGACAGTAATCATTCTTTGTCTTCCACTGCTGGGCTCAACGCTAACAAACAATCTTCTGTCCGCCATCAATTCGCTCAGGTTGGCTCAACTGCCGAACACCACGCTGATCGCCGTTCACTTGACATCTGTCACTCCCTTCCTTCCTGTCCCTCGATCAAGCTCTGAGCACCCCTCCATCCCAGAGTCGACTACGGCGGTGCCTGTAACCCACACCGAAAATCTTGAAAGCGCCATGTATATTCAAAATCCTCGATCTCACACTAGACATTCTCCTAAACATACTTCCACGCAAACACCGAAAGTGTCTCAAATGCCTTCTGAAACTCTAACTTCGTCAGAACTCCTCTTAACCTCAGAATACACAGACTTAAGTCCCAGAACCCATACCACCTCCAAAGCGACCCAAACACCGAAACTTTCAAGTTCGATACTTGGCAGTCATTCCACGAACATCTTGGGACCGTCCAGGGATGCAAGCAGTAGGTGGAGGAGGTATTCGCCACCAGAAGATGTGAGTCAGGCGACCAAGAGGGCCATGCTAGTGTTGACTGTGACTGAGAGTGGTGCTAGTGTGGAAGAAATGTTCAACCAGAGCCCTGCTTCGTCCGACTTTAACCGGCACACAGAGGTTAGTGTCATGATTCTGCCTAAATTTTTTTCTGACAAAGTTATTTCCATGTATTCGGAGGACAGACCGAACGTCGTGATTGAGAAGGTAGAATTCCTGTTCGTTATTCAGAATGTCTGGATTTCATATTTCGGCCCTGAGAGCGGCTATCATCACTGAATATTTACATAGTTCTCTTCAATCTCTAGAGTCAAACGTTGAGATTGTATTTTTTTTTCAATTCATTCCTCACGAAAACTCTCATAATACGTTACGCGAACTGAGCCATTGAGCGTTGAGAAAACTGTGAAATGGAGTCTTATAATTTTTATTCGTAACCGAATATTATTAAAGACGAGTAAATTAAGGAAGAATAGATATTCTGGACATTTGACACGCATGTAAGTGATGGTAAACATATTGAAGATTTCAAGTGAAACACTGAAGATGTGTTACCAGTAGGCGTATCTGCACCTACGCGTATGCGAGAGGAGGAAATTTAAGAAATACAAACTCTACACTTCCATCTCTCTATATGGTCCAATGGTGAGCTCTTACAAAGATCATAACGAACCTTCCTATTCCATAAATGCATCGACATCCTTGACCAACTGAAAGGTTAATTAACTGGAGACTGGAATAAATTGCATCAGCACTCACTGGCGAGTATTCTTGAGTATGGTGATACAATTTCTGGTTTGATAAAAATTCTGTTTCTTTTTAAAGGTTGAGCAATTATAAACTTCTCAAAGTAGACTCGGTATCATGGGATTTATTACTTTCTCTTTTGCAGCAGGAATGGGAATTATGGCAACATGTGAAGGAAGGCTTGAAGATAATGCAGAGTGCAAGGAAGAGTCAGCATCAACAGAATTCTGCTGCAGAGCACAACAGCTGCCGTGAGGACAGATGTACTTATCGATTTGTACTCCTTGACTGGTTCGAAGAGTTAATAAACACATCAGCAAACAGCGTGCTGGTGGCGAGGTGGCGACCACTGCTCCAAGTTGAAGCAAGAAGCCAACAAGAAGCCAACAAGACGAGAAACGGATCTTCGTTTTCCTTGGTGCCTCTGGTTCCTTTACTGAAAGATTGGGCCAGAATAAAAAAAGAGGGCGTCTCATGTGAATTTGGGGACTATGACAGTTGTGCGGATTCTGAACCGACAGGTAAAAGCTTGAGAGGCTTCTGTAGATTCACGCTCAGTTTGCTTTGCCCTAACTAGGTAATAATCACAGCTGGTTCCTTTCTCATCACTTGCCAAAAGCGAGTCAATTTTGCCGATATCGACAGGTCATCTAGAATCTATTTCACTTAAGCATATTCTGGTAGCGCTTTAAAATGCAAATGGCAGACGTTTGTTGCCAACATAAAGGCCAGTAATAATAGCTCTTATTGCTATAGTAGCGTGTTCGAACATTAATGTAACGATATCTAGTGAATGAAAGTCTGTTTATGTTTGTGGTGTGATTACATTTGTATATAGTATTTAATGCTGCCCCAATTGACCCAAAAATCAAACCAATTAATTAACCATTATCACCTAAAATATTAGTTGTTTCTCTGTATATAAAATATATATCTGCATAATATAAAAGTAATGAACTACATAATTAACACTAGTTAACCTAACCGGTTCTAAATGTTTTTGTTACTAGATTATTAAAAAATTCAGTTTGCATTATCTGATTCTTTTTGGAATTTTGGTCGCTTGCTTGAATTTCTGCAGTAATCTAGTAGTTCTCATCTTAGCATGCTGTGTTATATTCAAAGTTCGAACTAATCCCTACGTTCCACGTCTTTCCAATTCATTATTTAATAACTATCCTGTCAATTTACTCTGTGTAGCCTGTGTTATAGACCATAAATATTGTCACGTATCCTGGTAACGCGACAAATAATTAGTGGGTTCTCTGGATTGCTGGATCGATTTATTTGACGTCACTATTACAGTCACACTTGGCTATAACAGTTCACACACCTCACTCCGTCAGGATAACAATCACTCTCTGCGTAGCTCTGCTTCGTTCTCCAAAGCACCTTGATTCGCTGCCGAGTCACTTCGCCTTCTTCTTCCGCCTTCTGTCGTATTCTGGTCTCTCCTGGTACAGCAACTAAAACGCAAGAACTGTAACAGTCACACTCCAGATATCACTTCACTACAGCACACATGGAGTCTTCAAATCACACGTTATATCTTCTACGATATTCCCTGGCTATTTCCACCGAGAACTCAGAACTCAGAACCCTGTCACTGTCACTGTCACTGTCACTGTCACTGTCACTGTCACTGTCACTGTCACTGTCACTGTCACTGTCACTGTCACTCTCACTCTCACTCTCACTCTCACTCTCACTATCACTGTCACTGTCACTGTACTCAACTAATCTTCGAAATTCACTAAGGACATGCTCCATTCTCGTCCGTGTACTCTCAACTGCCTTGCAGCTTCTACTTCGCTCCTCCAGCTTACGACTGACTGCAAATGACCTTTGTTGTCCCCTATAAACCTTCGGCGAAGACCTAAAGAAAACAAGTCACGTGATTCCTAGCCAGCGACTTCAATGACGCGCTGGCTGTTGCCTAGCAACGAGCAATAAACATTAGTTCACTAAGATACAGTTTCTATTGTTGCCCATTTTAACGTGTTTACTGAATCGTTACCGAACAATAATCATGTATTGTTGTCAAGCGCTTAAGCGAGGTGTTTATCGCGCCGTTGCCTAGTTAACGTACATGTTAGAAAATGTAAATAAATAAAATGGAAAATCTTCATTCAATTTTGTCATGATTTTCGGTCATAGCCTCTCCAAACCTTAAGAACAGTATGTATATTCGCTAGATCCTTCAGCTGACTTCCCAGCCAGAATTGTCTTAACTTCTCAGAAATATGTTTGTATCTGCAGCAGATGAATTTTAATACCAATCCTAATCTCAAAATATAAAACAATAGATATAGAAAATACGTAGGCCTACTCCACTTTAGAATCGCGTTTTGCTCCTGTTAAGTCAGGTTGATATTGCTGGAGGAACTTCATTCATCCAAGTTAATTTATATTCCAGAATTCTGTTCATTTACACGCATTATACCTTCCTGCTCTACGACGCTTTCTATAATTATAGTTAAAGTTATGTTCAGGCTGTGAAGCCGAAGTGTATTTCATTGCAGGAGGTTCCGAGCTCATACTGAAAGGAGCACACATAGCTGCAATTGCCATTTGTTCAGCTCTCTGCGCTGCCGTCCTCGTCGTCGCTGGAGCCGTTGCTAGGTAACCGAGATTCTCATTACAGTTTACACGTTTTGAACAGTGTAATTCAATCCACAAAAGCTCGACGGAAGAAAAAACCCCTAGCTATCCTGAGGAACCTATACAATTGTAAATATGCCTTGCTGACTACGTTGGACGCTATAATTTTGTTTTATATATCTACGAGTAACACGCGAGATTCCAGTCAAACAATCACAGTTGATTAAACCTTAGACTGGAAAAGCATTTATTTATTTAGAAACAGAGTGAAGGTATGGACCTCTTTACAGGAGGCATGAAGCTTCCAATTCAGTTTGGATTAAGCGCTCTGAGTAAATATTTGAGAACAGTTGTTAGAACACTCTGATGCCGCGTGACTTTCGAAGTTTCACAAAGTCGGTCGAAGTTCATGAAATGCGTTTACCTGTATGCAGAAGTGTTACGTGAAATTAATATATGAAATAAAAATGTTCTTAAATAATTTCAAAGATCCGGATAGGAATGTGATGAGCCGAGATTTCGCTCTTTCGAAGTTTCACAAAGTCGGTCGAAGTTCATGAAATGCGTTTATCTGTATGCAGAAGTGCTACGCGTGAAATTAATACTCGTATATGAAATAAAAATTTCGCTTACGAGGCGTTCCAACTATCCGTAAGGCTCGTCTTATAATTCTGAACGGCACAGGGCAGAAGATGGAATCCGTGGATAATCGTGACGTAAGAAATGGAAGTGTCACGTGGCAAAGTGGCCAGGGATAGTGTGGAATACAGAATCTGTAGTGTGAACAATAAAATGAAGAAAATGAGACGGATAAATCGTGCTTTGTGTAGCCGGATTAGGCATTATGTTGTCTAACAGAAGAATCCCCTACCGAATGCTATTCTCCCAACTGTGAATTTCCATTGTGGTTTTCCATTTACAACAAATTTTAAGTCGTCCCATAATTCTGCACAACAATATACTCTTAAATAATATTGTCACATATTATTTAAAGTATCAATTTACACAGCTGAAAGTAAATTCCTCTTGTAGGAAGCGGTTAGTTGCTGGCTTCCCATCGCGGCGGCCCGGGTTCGATCACGGGTCTGGTCAAGTGGGATTTGTGGTGGACAAAGTGGCGCTGGGGCAGGTTTTCTCCGAGTACTTAGGTTTCCCCTGCCAATCTTCATTCCACCAATTGCTCCACAATCACCCTCACCTATCATCTGGGGCTGGTACAATAGGCCAGAAGTGGCCGCAGTACAAGGAACAGTCCCACCCCACTAGCATAAAAAAAAGCGTGTTCTCCAGCCTCCTCAGACATCAGTAAAGTGGGACCTGTCTTACTGAACAAGCGCCATAGCTCTTCAAGGTGAAAGTGAAAGTAACACAGTCACAGAATTAAAGACACAGAATTAAACTAAGCCGATCTGAGTGGCAGTGCGATCTTCCAGAACGTGAATGCGTGGATCATGGGCTCTAAATTCTTCTTGTTCTTGTTTTTCTTCTTCTTCTACCTTGATGGATTAGGCTCTCTGGCCTATTCCCATTCAGAATTAATTCTGAAATTATGAATGTCATAGAGAGGCGGTAGAACTCCTAGTACGGAGGATCAGCCCATCGCAAGACCGCTGCTTACATAGCACAACATAAACACAGAATGAGACAGACAGACATTCATGCTTCGAGTGATTTTAGGTTATTTCCCAGTGTTTGAGCGAGCGAAAATATTTCGCACCCTAGACCGCGTAGACTCTTTCCCTAAGAAAGAATTCTATGTATTCAATTTTTATATTTCTGCCCTGTAATTTTGTAAATATTAAAGAACATATTAATATAAAGAGCATTATTTGTTTTAAGACCATTAAAATAGTTTGTATGATGAATTTTTTTGAGAAATTTAACAACCGTCAGTGTGAATTTCGTATGTGATACTGTCGACTGATTCACATAAAAATTAGACTGGACCCACAGTTTCTAATGTGGACCTACAGATTTAAACCTAATATAAATCCATTCAGTGATTTCTAACATAATTTTTTCAGAAGGATAGACAGGTACACGAACAGACACATCTCGTTATATGTCCATTTTTGCATGCTTTATATAGCGCAGAAAAATTATCCTTCATTTGAAGAACTGATGGTAGTTATTAAACAATTTTACTAAAAACAATATTTGAAGAGTCTTATATTACCTTTTCTAGTAGAATATATTCCTATATTCTTATTGCTTTAACGCACTGAATGACATTTTCTTTTCGACAAAACCTCTCAGATCTGATTTCAGTAGGTTCCTCTGTTAGTGAGTTGTGATGTCCATGTCACAGAGGGCTGGGTTATTCAAAGAAAGAGAAATGGAAAAAATACAATCAAGAGCAGTCCCTGAACACCTGGCAATGTCGTCCGCATGTTATGCCCTACGTGCCCCTTCCAGTGATAACTTGAGCACTGCATATCCTGACAAATATGATGTGATCGATTTATTGCAGGAAGCAGCTCCTAAAGAAGAGGATGTCTAAAGGACCGAACAAAATTCTTCTCACGCCCTCAGACTTTGTGTTTCCCCACGTCCCCGATTCTCTCAGGGTGAGTGGTCTTACTCTGGTCTCACTCTCATGTGTAGGCTGTCCGTTGTAGCTACAACTCTGGATTTTGGATGAGCAGAAGTCAACACTTAAGCAGCGTCTACACGAGCGTACAAAATACGTCCGTTTAACGAACGTCTTGATGTCCGTTGTAGAAATAAACAAGAGAGGCGAATGCTACGCTTTCTTCTTGCTCCATTGCAGACAAAAATCTACGCACCGCATTCTGCAGCTGTGTGGTGTCCTTAGCAATGTCCTTCATATAGTACGTTACTTATAACGGACGCATTTTGTGCGCTCGTGTAGACGCTGTCTTACAGTTCTGCATTAGGCAGAATCAGTTCTTACAATTTGACCTCACTTTAATAGTTCACCTTACGACACTCACTAATGTCCGCCTCGAAAAAGCATTTTTTAGGCTTGTTGCCAATTGTATGTTTTATTTCCGAGTACTCACATACTGCATGTACTCTGAGCAGTGTAAGCTTGTGATTGGACTCTTCGAAGGATGGAATTTAAATTAAGCGCTGATAATAATACTACATTCTTCCGCTAGAGATAAATTTACTACGTCACATGCAGGCGGAGCAAGGGGACTTTAAATCGCGACTGGACTATAGTAGCTGGTGTTATACGAACAGTAGATGAATAGCTGGAAAGCGTCTTTCATTTCAGGCAGTTCCTCTCTCCTATGGTGAGCTTAATTAAGCCCTACGTAACAGACAATCATTGTTTTTATGCATGTTTGAATGTTTATGTATTCATAATTATGGTAGCGTAGTTGGCTGAGGGGCTATGCTACAAGCCGGAAGGTCGCCGGTTCAAGTCCCGATGAGGTCATTGGATATGTTTGTGATTATATATTTGTATATATGTATAGATCTATGTATTATCAAATGTACCTGTTCCTCTGCCAGGCCCATCTTAATGTAAACTGTACTGGAATAATTAAGATGCTGGACCAGGACTGAATCTAGCTGGCCTAAGAGAGGACCCTGTTGTATGTTTTTGTGACTGTGATAATTATCCGCCGGGTTCCATAATGTGTGGCAGGAATTTCTTGAAACTCGTGTTCGCCCTTCTCTTTCTGACAGCTTTTACGAGTAGTAACTCTGAAACTAAGGGCCGCGCACATAGCTCAAGCGGTTAGTCCCTGGCTTCCCACNGTGATTGAGGCTAGCTCTTTCTAAGGGACCCAACTGAATAGGTGTTTTCCTTCACCTGAGGACGGAAACAGATCCAGTTTCCGAAACGTCGTGTTTTTATTTGTTATCTTAAAAACCAGGACGATGGATAAAGTCCAGAAACCCAACATATCAAGACAACGATGCTCACACATTTTAAAAGTACATACTCCAAATTTTAATATGTGTCTTTCTACTCTTGTCAGTTTTCTTGAATTTTTTTAGAGATTATTTTTTAATAGTCTTGAAATTCGTTCACTTGGCTGAATGCATGTTATGTTGTTAAGCTTCCCTTTTTTTTATTGCTAATGGGGTGGGACTAAGTCCCTTGTACTGCAGTCACTTCTGGCCTATTGTACCAGCCCCAGATGATAGGTGAGGGTGACTGTGGAGCAATTGGTGGAATGGAGATTGGCAGGGGAAACCGAAGTACTCGGAGAAAACCTGCCCCAGATCCACTTTGTCCGCAACAAATCCCACTTGACCAGACCCGGGATCGAACGCGGGCCGCCGCGGTGGGAAGCCAGCGACTAACTGCTTGAGCTATGGCGCGGCCAGAAGTAGACCTTAGTG